TCCTGTGTTTCTTCTTCTACTACTGGCTCACTTCATTAATGCTGGCTTGGAGATTACTCTAACCCACGCCTGACAAGAGATACCATTCTGCTAAGGAATTTCTAAGTGCAGGTGCATAGATTGTTTTCAGACATTTCCACAAAGGACAAAGAGCAAATCTAGGAAAAGAATCATATTTATATTATTTGAAATGAAATTCTCGATGAACATCTAATGTATGACTTCTCTGCATTAGAAGTACAGATTTTGCATTCTGTACTTTAGTTACAGAATGCAAAATCACTTTTATTTGCTTATTATTTTAGCTAACCCATTCTCTTTAATAGTAATCATAGTAGTTTTTCTCTTTAATAGTAATCATAGTAGTTTTTCAATTCTTTTTGGAAAGCTGATAAATAACTATTTAAAGATCCTGGGAGAAGTACTTTCAGAATTGCTGCAATTTGGTGGGTACCAGTATGTTTTCCGTTTGCTACTGAAGCATTTTGCAAACCTTCCAATCTATTGGCAGAAAACTTCTTTCTGTTCTGCGCATATGATTTTGGCAATATTCATTTTCGACTTAACAGACCATCTCAGATTTGCAAAAGCCAATACAAGCAACAACAGGAATTTCAATGCAGGTGCTTAATACAGAGCATCCTTTTTACAATAATATATCGGTTTATTTTACAGGATCAAAGTTTTATTCGATACATAACAAGTCACTAGCCAATAAAGGGTTATAGCAAATGTTAAACTAAGCACAATGTTACTAAACATTAAACTCCAAGTTTACTAATTTGTAAAATGACTTCTATCTGTTGCCTTATTTGTTTCTGTTTTTGAGTCTGTAAACAGGAATCCTGAGTCTAGCCAAGGACCGGGAAGAATAATTTCCCGCTCTTTCTGGGAAGGGAAGGCATGGGAAATCAGAAGGAATCACTTGAGCTAGTTTTTATATTGGTCATTATCTGGGTTCTTAAGCTTGGGTGTTTTGTTTTCGTAAACATTTCTCTAGGAGTGTGAAAATATACTAAGGTATCTTGTGTAAAATATTTTATTGCCATTTGAATTAATAAGCAAATTGATTCAATAGGTGACTTTCCAGAATACCTTTAATATCTTGTTGTAATAGATGTGTTTTGTGGTCTGAGGCCCATCTGGTAGTGCTTAGAGCTTACTCCTAGCTCTGCTCAGAGATCTCTCTTGGTGGGGCTCAGGTGCACAACAGGTACCAGAGATCAAACCCAGATTCACCACAGACAAGGCAAGCATCCTACCCACAGTACTGTCTCCCCAGCCTCAAGAGAGTAAAATGTTTTTAACATGGTTGCTGTGTTTAGGTAATAGCGATCACCAAAGCCTCGCGAGTAGAGGAGCCACTGTAAATGATGTGTTTTCTGTATAGTAACCTTTGTGTCATAGGCTTGTCCTACCGAAGGTTGTAGAACTGTCATCTGAAAAGCCTACAGCAAGGGCCTATGGATAGTTCAGCAGGCAGGTACTTGCATTGCACACGGCCAACCCCGCCCAACCCAACACCACACCTGGTCCCCAAGACTCTCCAGGAGAAATCCCTGCGAGCAGAGCCACAAGGAAGCCCTGAGCACCACCAGGAGTGACCTCTAAAGCAAAATCAGAACAACCCCAAAAATTAAAAGAGTAGAAACAAATGTGAGAACCAAAGTTAGCTCTAAAGCACTATCTTCAGGGGCCGACCATGGACTCAATGCTGAGAACACACTTCCCGGGTTGAGGCCCTGGGTTTGATCTCTTGCACAAAAATATGTCAAAGTGTAAAACTGGAAAAATGCACAAACTACTATCAATAGATATAATTTCTATAGCAGCAGTAATCTATATTTTGAATATCTTCATGATTTTATATTATTTATATTGTTCATATTATATAGAATAATATATTTATTCAGTATCATTAAATATTAAGTCATTAAATTATTATTAAATACGTATTTATTATCTATTATATTCATATCAATAATATTCATAGAATAATAAAGATTATTTTATATCTTTATTATTTTCTGAATATATTCATTCTTTTGAATATTTTATTACTCTTAGAATGATAGAAATATCTTTTCCCTAGTATTGAAGTCATTCTTAACATTATACTTTGCCACATAACTATTATATGGAAGCCATAATATTTGTATAATGTTTATGTATATATATATTAAATATATTAAACTGTTTGCTATTTCTCTATTTCTGTGCCAAACATGTAATGCCATCTTGGGTAGTTTACCTATTAATGCCCTAAGTGTGCTCTGAAAAGCATGGACCATTGTGTGCTAAATAATGAAAGGTAGACTTGATTGAGGTCATAGAGAAAGTAGGACCCTGGCCTCCCATGGGGCTGACCTAGGTTTAATCCCCCTGAACTCTAGGAGTGATTCCTGAGGGAAGAGCCAGGTGTAGTCCCTGGGTGTCTCCAGTGTGGCCCTACCCCATACCCCCCACCCCAAAAAGAGATAAAACGAGAGGAAAGACAGAGAGAAGTAGTTTTCTTACAGCCCCGTATGTGTGTTGAATGTTGACCAGCAGAATGAAGAGTCTGTTGGTGGACGTTGTTCAGGATTGCTCCGGATCTGAATTTCAGGAAATAATTTCCCATTATATTTAGATAATACTATATGATTGATTTTATATTGTACCTTTTTCAAGTAGAATTTTATAAGCCTATGCTTTTAAAAGTTATTCTAATTAAGTCTCTTGGCTCACACACACAAAAGCTAAACTTATATTTATAAATATAAATAGGAAGAGGGATGTCTGGGTCACTCTTGACCCCAGAGTTCAGGGCGGAGAAGGACTGAGGAGGAAAGAAATCAGTGAGGGAAGGAAGAAGACGAGAAAGGGAAGCCATGTAGGAATGGGGATAGGAAGCTTTGGTTATGCTGGTTATGTGGGAGATTGGTATAGTTACACACCCACAACACAGACCCAGCAACACTGTGGATATGAGATCTAAGCTTCAACCACTGAACTTTGGAGCGTGCATGTCAAGGGGACACGTATGGTGGAGAGGGGGAGGAGAAGATGGAGCATGGGAAGACCCGGTGGCAGGAAGTTGACGCCGGTATAGGATTGGTGTTGAAATATTACGTGCCTAGAGCTCACCTGTCAGCAGCTTTGTAAATCACTGTTATTTTATCAACTGACTAAAGCACAGTGATTTACAAAGTTATTCATAGTTGAGTTTTAGACATACACCAATCCCACCACCAGTGTCAACTTCCTTCCAGTAATGCTCCCCCTCCTAGGTTCCTGCCACACCACCCCCTCTAGCCCGCCCACACCCCCCAAACACACACACATACACACACCCCCTCCTGTCTCCAGCCAGCCCTCTTGACAAGCACCTTTGTAAGTTCAGTTGTTACAGTTTGGGTCTCCTGGTTTCAGTGTTGTTGCCTCTGAGATTTGGATTCTTGGCTCAACTCCACCTTTGTACCCGAGTTTCCTCACCTGCCCCCCATTGCTTTTCATCTGCTCTCTCCTCCTCCCCCCAACTCTTTCTTTTCTTCTGTACTCTGGGACCAAGGTTGTTCTGAACATCCCCCCCATTAAAATATTACATTCCCACATCCAGTTTGTTCAAAATACCACATACAAGTGATATCCTCTTGGTTTTATCCTTACTTCATTTAACATTTTGGTTTATTTCATTTAATATGATGTCTTTTAGTTCCGGAGCTATAGCACAGCAGTAGGGCCTTTGCCTTGCGTGCAGCCAGCCCAGCCAAGCCAGGTTCGATTCCTCTGCCCCTCTCGGAGAGTCTGGCAAGCTACCGAGAGTATCTCTCCTGCATGGCAAAGTCTGGCAAGCTACCCGTGATGTATTCAATATGCCAAACACAGTAACAACAGGTCTCAAAATGGCTTGGAGGCCAACCACACATGCTAGGGGAAAAGGGAGCTCAGATAGAGAAGGGAGCACCAAATAAAGGTGTTGGGAGGATCCTCCCAGGATGGGAGAAGCATGCTGAAAGTAGATTATAGACCAAACATGATTGTCACCCATTGCCTCTTTTGCAAACCACAACACCCAATAAGAGAGAAAGAACAAAAGGGAATGCCCTGCCACAGAGGTAGGGTGGGATGGGGGGCTGGGGGCTGGGACGGATACTGAGATCTGTGATGGTGGGAAATGGGCACTGGTGGAGGGATGGGTATTTGATCATTGTATAATTGAAACCCAAGCACAAAAATGTGTAAGTCTACAACTGTACCTCATGATGTCTCACTAATGAAAATTAAAAAATAAAAAAAATGGAGACGTTACTGGGCCCACTTGAGTAAATCAATGAACAACGGGAGGACAGTGACAGTGACAAAGTGACATCATTTCTTATAGCTGTATAGTATTGTATTCTGTATATATAACCACATCTTTATGATTCTTTGAATAAATTTAATTTTTTAAAAGGAATTTCTGTGTATAGTATTTTACACGTGGGTAGACAATTGACTTCTTTTTTGTTTCTTCCCGTTTGGGCCATACCCTGAAATGCTTTGGGTTTGCTTCTGGTTCTGTGCTCAAGGATTTATCCTAGCAGAACTCAGGGATAATATGTGATATATATATATATATCGATATATATATATATCGATATATATATATATCAAACCCAGGTCATTGCATGCGAACAATTGCCTTAGCCACTGTACTATCTCTCTGGTCTCGATACTGAATTGTTGAAAAATGAATGTGCCAGGTTAAAAAGAGCCTTATTTGCAATGACTTTATTTTCATGCATGAACCCCCTTCACTTACACAATAATTAAACTGAACTTTTCTAGACAAATATCAATGTTGGTTAGCGACACAGGCATAATCACCAGGCAGGTAATGCCTCGGAGAAACTGTCAAACTGTTGATCATACTGTCACAGCAAGTTATCATTCTGTTCTTTCTGTTTTTAGATTTGTAATGTGTCTTACTCTTTCTCATCAGTTATAACCTCTTTCCATATTGTTCTTCTTGATTGCAGCTCCCTGTGAAGGCAATACTTTCTTCTGCCATAGTAACATGTGTATTAACAATACATTGGTTTGCAACGGACTACAGAATTGTGTGTATCCTTGGGATGAAAATCACTGTAAAGGTAATGATTAGTCTTTCAAATTTGCAACCCTCAGCCCCACATGAGGAAGGGGTGTAAGTTGATGACAGTGGTGTGTGTATAAGATAGTCTTAAACAAAGATAGTCTTAACTTTTTCCCAGTTCTGGGTATGTAGTATATTTTTAAAGTTTTTAAATAGGAATTATTATTAGCCTTATTCCTGCTGAGACCGAAAGTTAATTTGCCTCTATTATACTTGACACTGATATTTCTATTAGAAACTGCAGTTCAGAAAGAAGCTGAAGTTCTTGAAGTTAAGGTCTGACTTGTTTCCAATACTCCTGGGTGCTTTTATGTGTCCCACCCTGCTCATTTATTCCAGTTTTCTTGCACTGAACACTGGGTGCAGCTGCAGAAGTTCATTCATGCATCATTCTAGTTATGCTTAATGCAAATAATTATATTGTATTTATGCTTATTTTCATAAGTCTCATGTAATTTTATTCCCTTTTCCTCTTGTTTGATTCCTCTGCCCCTCTCGGAGAGCTCGGCAAGCTACCAAGAATATCTTGCCCGCACGGCAAAGCCTGGCACGCTCCCCAAGGCATGTTTGATATGCCCAAAACAGTAACAAGTCTCACAATGGAGATGTTACTGGTGCCTGCTCGAGCAAATTGATCACAATGGGAGGACAGTGCAGTGCTGCATTTGAATCACTCTAGTATTTTTTTTAACATACTTTTGGTGCTCTTTTTCTGATTGGTTGCTTTGGGTTTATGATATAAAATAACTTTGATTCCAGTGAGTAGTATTTCTAAAAGATCCTGTCCTCACCTTCTGTTTATTCTAATATATATATATATGTGTGTGTGTGTGTGTGTGTGTATGTATGTATGTATTTGTGTGTGTATCTACATGCTGAAAAGTCAAAGAATACATTACTTCAATCATTACTTAATGATTTCATGTCTTTGACGAAGTTAAGAGGGGAACAGAGGACACATGCGTTCACTGAGTTTCTTAAGCCTTCTAATTATCTATTTCTGAGCTCTTCATCTGTTTCTTGGCTTACAATTGTCACCTGATGGTTTTTAATCAGTGTGGTTTTCTCTCATTACATACGTATTGGCAATACCAATAATTTTAGGTCCATAAATTATAGTTCAGCAATTATATACATCATATGACTCTGTAAAACATAATGACCTTTTTGAAAAGAAAAGGAAGAAACATTTAGGCTTCCTCTTCACGCCTTCAAGTCTGCTCTCTTGTCATATCCCAATTGCTCGTCCCCATGTTTATTTTCTTGCTTATTTCTGTTCTGAGGAAACCTGTGATCCCTCTGAGCCCCTCACTTCTCCGCTCTCTCCCTCACACCTTTCACCTGTCGTACTTCACACAAAAACAAATAGAGAGAGAAATACCTAACTAAACTCTCCTGGATAATTATTTACTTAATAGCCTTTAAGGGCAGTAGTTATTTAATGTTTTATCCAGTGTCTGTGTAATATTTTCATGTACATTTCAATTACATTTGGAGTCTCGTGCTTTCAATCCCAATAATTTTCTTTAATATTTCTTGTAAGTCATGTCTTTCAACATTAGTATTTTATTTGTGCTTGTCTTTATTTTATGCTATTTTTTTTTCCTTTTTGGGTAACTCCTGGCAATGCTCAAGGGTTACTCCTGGCTCTACACTCAGGAATCACCCCTGGCGGTGCTCAGGGGACCATATGGGATGCTGGGAATTGAACCCGGGTTGACCGCGTGCAAGGCAAACGCCCTACCTGCTGTGCTATCACTCCAGCCCCAGATTTTACGCTAATTTTTAAGTATCATCTGCCATTGGGTTTCTTAATGGATAGCTTCCCATTAGTTTAGACTACAGTACATTGAATGAATCCTACTTTTCCCTGATGTTTTCATAATTTCTTATGATGAATCAGTATTGCTGGTACTGGTGCTTCTTTCTATGTGAGGAGTTATTTTCTTTTATTGCTTTCATTTTTCTTTGTTTTTAGTATATTTAATATTATCTGTCAGAGTATGATTATCTGTGTTTCTCTTACTGGAGTCTGTTGAAATACTTGAATGTATATTTGAACAGAAAACTGGGGACATTTCAAATTTAATTTAATTTTTGTTTTCTGTTACTTTTTCTCCTTTCCTTGTTATACATACATAAGAAGATGCAGGTCTGTTGGAGGCTTTGTCTCATTTATTCTAAGGTTTTATTTATTATTCTGATTCTTATTTTCACTTCTTCAATTTATAATTTTCATTTATCTACCTTCAAATTTGATAGCACACTCTTCTCTTATCTCAAATGTATCTTAAATCATGGAAATGTAACTTCATTTCAGTGATTGTGCTGTTTAGTTCTAGATTTTGCACTTTTTTTTCATTTTATAACATCTGCATGTTAATTGATCATTTATCTGATGATACATTATTCTCATGTTTTACTTTACTGTTTATTCATATCTATTGATATCTTGAGCATATTTTGAATGGCGGTTCTAAAATTTTTCTTTTTTTTTTTTAAAGTTTTTATTAGTGGAACACCATGAGGTACAGTTGTAGACTTACACATTTTTGTGCTTGGGTTTCAATTATATAATGATCGAGTACCCATTCCTCCACCAGTGCCCATTTTCCACCACTACTGATCCCAGTATCCCTTCCCCCCCCATACCCCCCCATCCCACTCTGCCTCTGTGACAAGGCATTCCCTTTTGTTCTCTCTCTCCTTTTGGATGCTGTGGTTTGCAAAAGAGGCATTGAGTGGCAATCATGTTCGGTCTAAAATCTACTTTCAGCATACATCTCCCATCCTGGGAGGATCCTCCCAACACCCTTTATTTGGTGCTCCCTTCTCTATCTGAGCTGCCTTATCCCCTAGCGTGTGCGGCTGACCTCCAAGCCATGGAGTGAACCTCCTAGTACTTATCTTGGCTATTCTTGGTTGTTAGTCTCCTGTTTTGTTACTTTATGTTCCCCAGATGAATGCAGTTTTATATGTCTATCCCTCTCTTTCTTACTCATTTCGCTTAACATGATACTTTCCATGTAGTACCACTTGTATGTAAATTTCATGACTTCATCTTTTCTAACAGCTGCATAGTACTCCATTGTGTAGATGTACCAAAGTTTCTTTAACCAGTCATCTGTTCTCGGGCACTCAGGTTTTTTCCAGATTCTGGCTATTGTAAAGAGTGCTGCAATGAGGGGCTGGAGCAATAGCACAGTGGATAGGGTGTTTGCCTTGTACACAGCTGACCCAGGTTCGATTCCTCCACCTCTCTCAGAGAGCCCGGCAAGCTACCGAGAGTATCACGTCCGCACAGCAGAGCCTGGCAAGGTACTCGAGACGTATTCTATATGCCAAAAACAGTAACAGGAAGTCTCACGATGGAGACGTTACTGATGCCCGCTCAAGCACATCGATGAACAACGGGAGGACAGTGCTACAGGACAGTGCTACAGTGCTGCAATGCACAAACAAGTGCAGATGTCACTTCAATTATACTTTTTTGTCTCTCTGGGATATATTCCCAGGAGTGGTATTGCTGGGTCAAATGGGAGCTCAATTTCTAATTTTTTGAGAATCACCCCTACTGTTTTCCAAAGGACTGAACCAGTTGACATTCCCACCAGCAGTGAAGGAGTGTCCCTTTCTCACCACATCCGCGCCAGCATCGGTTGCTTTTGTTCTTTTGGATGTGGGCCAGTCTCTGAGGTGTGAGATGGTATCTCATTGTGGTTTTGATCTGCATCTCCCGGATGATTAATGATGTAGAGCATTTTCTCATGTGCCTTTTAGCAATTTCTTCTTTGAGAAAGTTTCTGTTCATTTCTTCACCCCATTTTTGATGGGGTTGGATGTTTTCTTCTTGTGGAGTTCAACCAGTACTTTGTATATTCTTGAGATCAACCCCTTGTCAGATGGGTATTGGGCGAATATCCTTTCCCATTCTGTAGACTGTCTCTGTATTTTGGTCACTGTTTCTTTGGAGGTGCAGAAGCTTCTTAGTTTAAGGTAGTCCCATTTATCTATCTCTGTTTTCACTTGCTCGGCCAGTGGCGTGGCATCTTTGAAGATACCATTAGCTTCAATGTCATGGAGGGTTTTGCTAACCTTGTCTTCAGTGTACCTTATGGATTCTGGTCAAATGTTGAGGTCTTTAGCCCTTTTTTTGCTTTTTGGGCCAAACCTGGTGATGCACAGAGCTTACTCCTGGCTCTGTACTCAGGAATTATCCCTGGTGGTGCTCAGGGGACCACATGGGATGCTGGGAATCGAACCTGGCTGCGTGCCAGGCAAATGCCTTACCCGCTGTGTTATCTCTCCAGCTCTTTAACTCATTTTGATCTTACTTTTGTACATGGTGTTGGGCAGAGATCTGAGCCCATTTTTTTGCATGTAGCCATCCAGTTTTGCCAGCACAGTTTGTTAAAGAGGCTTTCCTTGCTCCACTTCACATTTCTTTCTCCCTTATCAAAGATTAGATGACCATATGTTTGGGGAGAGATGTCAGTATATTCAACCCAGTTCCATTGGTCTGCAGCTCTGCCTTTGTTCCAGTACCATGCTGTTCTAATTACTACTGCTTTGTAGTAGAATTTGAAGTTAGGGAGGTTGATTTCTCCCATTTTCTTTTCCCCAAGAATTGCTTTAGCTATTTGTGAGTGCTTATTGTTCCATATGAATTTCAGGAGTGTTTGCTCCATTTCTTTGAAGAATGTCATGGGTATCGTTATAGGGATCACATTGAATTTGTACAATGCTTTGGGAAGTATTGCCATTTTGACAGTGTTAATTCTCTCGATCCATGAGCAGGGGATATCTTCCCTTTTTTTCGTGTCTGCTTTTCTTTCCTACAGTAGTGTTTTGTAGTTTTCTTTGTACTAATCCTTTACTTCCTTAGTTAATCTGATTCCTAGGTACTTGATTTTCTGGGGCACAATTGTGAATGGTATTTTTTTTCACGTCACTTTCTTCTTTCTCACTATTTGCATATAGGAAAGCCATGGACTTTTG